ACGAAATTCCAACTTGAATTTAATGTAGTATCTTGAATGGATCTTGGAATAGGATCGTAATGAAACGCGATATGGTCACAACTCACAACTCATTGCATAAATATAAGAGTTAAATATTTTACATGTTAGTTTATGAGTATATTAATCCAATAAACAAATTAATATAATAATAAAATTTTATGTAATTTATGTTTTTATACAATTCCCTACTCATTAACTCTCTTATTTTCTTCCATCTGTTCTTCTTTTTTTTTTTTCCATTGCAAAAGATGCATAAAAAGCTAAATAGCATCATTTTATTTATTTATTATTATGATAATTTTCAGCTATTCTAAGGCGACTTAATTTAAAATTTTAATTTATAAAACAGAGGGAACAAATTAAAAAAATAAAATTTTAATTAAAAATGATATTAAAGCGATTCGCGAACATGAGAAAGAAATTATTCATTTTTATATTTTCTCTTTATAATTTCTCTCGAATTTGCGATTAAATATTTATACGGAGAATTTTGGCGCGAGTAATTCGATGCGCACTTTCGAAAGCAATTGGTCTTGAATTAAAGGTCTCTATGGACGAAACCTTAAACCTACTTCGCCAGCCCTCATGCAATAATTTAAGCTTCGCGCGTTCCTAGCATGTTCGCGACATCAGGAATCGCAACCTCGTGACCCTGTCGACACGAGGAAATAAATCGCGCGCCGAGTCACGGAGAAAATTCGTGGAGGACCTCTCTTGGAGGCGAAGAAGAATGATACGAAGGAAACGTCCTCCTGTCCTTGCCGGTGGATCGACGGCGATGTCGAGCCGCGCATTTAATCGTCCCGCTTCGTAATTAATTGGACCCGGTAACGAGCTGCGTGCGGAGATCTACGGAGCTCGCTGGTGGAATTGCAAACATTTATCATCTATTAATTAAGCGATTAGTCCGCGGCGTCGCACTAACGAGGAAGCCAGTGCGTGAAAGGGAATTTCTTTGGCGCGAGCGCCGACGGGCAATTTCTGTAATACTAGTCGGTATCTTGTAGAACCCGTTGGAATTCGAACGTGCATAATTCCAAGCGTTAGCAGATCCAATAATCATGGTATATTGATTTCCGAGAAATAAATTATTATTTCTTATCGTCCGTCACGCGAGGAGTCACCGACATTTAAATATATTCAGATTGATTCCTTGATTTACCTTTGCTTTTCGTCGCTTTCTGTTCCTCATGTTTTCTGCATCTATTCATGTTGGCGCTCAACGCTTGATTCTGAGTTTAGTGAACAGTGCTAATCATCGAAATGAGTTGACGATAATCCATCTCTACTTCACAACTCGTCAAACGTTACGAAGTGAGGATCGACACCGAGCATTGTATTCCTGTGACTCGCGATTCTGTCTAGCAGGAAAAGACGGCCATACTTTACGTCTACGGACACGCATTGAAATGAGCGCGTGGGTGGAGCGAAGAGAAAAGACGCAGGTAGATTCGCGGAAAAATATACGGCACTTTACGTTTTCGTACGCAGATCGGCCGCGAGGAATTTCTCATAACATCTCCAATCGACTGTTGGGGGAAAGCGTATGCTTTTTTTTTTAGCAATCCGTGCAATCCACTTGCATTCGTGAATTTCGCATTTCGTTTGTGAAATTTTTCGATTGCGTGTGGGTGACCCGGTGTTCCCGTTTCGCAAGACGTTGCAATCGCAATGTGACGCGTCGCCCCCGCGATTTTCTCCGACGGGAGGAACCCCGAGATCTACGGGGAACATTATAACGCTGATTTTCGCGTAGGTTGACACCGGCTCTCTCGGCTGTGACACGCGGCGCCAACGTGGCGGCGACAGTTGGACGTTACGCCGATGTCACGGCGCTCGTATTATTCGCACGTTGCATTTCTGCGGAAACGTCGGAGTCCCCGTTTATCAGCGGCCGTTGCGAAAATCGTTGTTGCATCACAAAATCAATCTGGCGGGCGATATATGTCACCGGCGCGACTCTATGCGGTCGCGACGCCGAAGAAATTTTACGACGATCGTCGTGACTTAAACGACGGCAATCAGTAGTTCCAATGGCCATAACTATACGCGCGAAGCTTAATAGCTCCGCTTATTTCAGGGATGTAAACCGGTTTCACTTGCGAATCGCCTGTTTTCCGGTACCCTGCGACGCGACAATGAGCCATAGACTTATAATTGCATTGTTCATATCCTTTCTCCGTCTGCAATCCGGAAAATAGAGCATTTAATTTTCAACAGCTATAAATATCTGTCATAAGCATAGGTAAATGCGTAAACGTAATATTATATAACGATGAAAATCAACACCTTTTATGTGTATGTATGTATGTACACTAGAATTATCGAGCGCGCGCGTCATGTGTTCTCCAATATACTTTTTATTTTTATTTGATTTTTTTTCCATTAATTTATAGATTTATCAAATATTATTTATTATTTATCTTTATCAATAAAGAAATATTATAGGAATGTTTTGTAAAATTTATCTGAAGCAATTTTGAATATGTCCAAAAAAAAGAAGATAATTTTGTCATTGTGTAGAAGCAAATACTAAAACGTTTATATACTTATTTAATATCATAACACTATTACTATATAGTCATAACTCCCTCGAACATAATTATCAAAATAGACTTCTACAATGATACAATAGCTACTCATAAAGTAAGCGCAACAAAAGAATTAATTAGCATCGTGGAAAAAAAGCTTCAACATTCATTCATTCCGAGATTTTATTAACATGTCTTTTTTTTAAAAAGGATGAATTATATTTTTCTATATAACGCGTAGTCTTTCGTTAAAATATCAATTTTATATAATTATATATCAAGAAACAACAAATTATCACGTAAATTGTCACGTCGCAACACAAGACATCTCTCAGAAAGATAATGCGATCGCGCCGTGACTGTGCCGACCGGAGAAAATCATCCTAACAATCCACGACGACAAAAGATTTACAAGAAGAAATAAAGATGGGCACACCGGTATAAATAGCGAGTACGAGGTACCGTTGTGATCGTATCGGGTTGAGGTCGTGGTGATGCGATCGTGATCGATGTAGAGCGTTCTTTCGATCTATCTGCGACAATCCGTGCTTGGGCAAGCCGGTGTGTCTTTACCAGTCCTGATCGCCAACAATCAACATATACCGGTAAACTACGCGACGCTTTTAACGTACACATATAGCGACAGATCTTCGTGCACGTACAAGCGAATAAATTACACACACACACACACACACACACACACACACACACACACACACACACACACACACACACACACACACACACACACACACACATATATATATATATATGCAAAACGTTTATGTAGCGGGATTTGTTTCCGGGTCATGGCAGGTTGACGCCGAAGATATTGTCTCTTATGCTCGATATCTACTTGATCTTCTTGTCTCGATTAGCATTGATTTGTGGATCATCGTGATTGGCCCGCGGGATTATGTCGATTTATTCGGCTACGTACATAGATAGCTGCTGTGACGATCTCCCGTTTTACGAATGATCACGAGTAATCAACTGTGGACACTTGCCCGCGGTCAGACGAGACCGAGATCGCTCGGTCCCACGTGGATCTCACGCATGGTACTCGTTATACTCCGATATTTCAATAGTTAAGTGTATGTCTGTGTTGTTGCAACTAAACACTTGAGACTTGATTGCATAATGCAGGGGGTGTTGCGAATTCAAATCCGCCGCGGCGTCAACATTGAAAAGAAACGGGAACAATGGGTGTCGCTCAAAGCTATGATAAGTTCCGTAGATTTGAATCCGTGCTCCTTTCGCTGCTGGATACGGACTATGCGGCTTTAATTGTATCGCAATGATCTCTCGTGAACTGAGAAAGACACCTGACGAGAGAGCCGCAGCTGATATCCGAGTCTTCCAGATTGCGTAACGACTCATGCCTAACAAAGTGTGGGACTCGATGTATTCGAGTTGGTGAATGTGGGGACCCTTAGATATTCAACTCGTACCTCCTTCTTTCTCCAATGAGCGAAATCGTATAAACCACGAAGATAGAATCTACCTCGACCACGCCTCGAGAATAGGATCGAACTGCCTCTTCCGTATACGTTGAAATCGTTTTTGACGTATCTCGAAGATTAGCATAAAGGTGCGTCTCATAAGCTAATCGTCTCGAGGATCTTTTCTTTACGTAAGAATATGATAAACGGAAGCCATTATTCGATATTATTAGACGACAATCCTCGCAAGTTTCAGTTCATTTATTTTACGTTTATATTCGAACGACATTGCAATTTTCATATGTATTTAAATCTATGATACAAAACTTTCAACACAGTCCTCGCCAAGAATATAATAAAGAAAATATAAAAAATAAAAGTATTTTTATACAGAACGATTTACATCGATTATTTCATCAAATGATTTATTACAAAATTTATATTTTAAAAGTTTTCATAATTATTTTTAATTTTGTATTAAAAAATTAATAGAAAAATTAATAATATTGTAATAAATATTAATATTTCCAACGTCTAATTTTTACATTCTACGATGTATAAATAAAAGCTATAAACAAATACTTTCACCATCAATTTCCTAATAATAGCAACAGCAACCGCCCTCTTACATTTTTCTGCGTTACTCATTTCTACTTAACTTTATTTATAATTTATTATTTATAATAGATGCTTTTATCCACAACAGATATTCTACAGATATTCTACGGATATTCTACACATATCGTATATCGGATATTTATTATATCATTACTTGTTATATTATTTATCTGCTGTAGATACTCTAAGCTGCTATTTATTTTAATATACATTATCTTGATGTACATTATTATTATTCTTGATATACATTCTTATCTTTTCTACTATATATACTGATAGTTACATATCGATAGTAGATGAAAGATTTTATATTTTTTCTTCTATATCGGGACTCTGTGGGTAATACTACCTTTCATTGTAAGAAGAAATCCCATAGAGGGACTCGAGTCAGTTATATATACTTTCCCATAAGCCCACAAAATACACAGATTGATACTGTTTCAAAGATTTAAATTTTCAAATGTTAGAAATCGCGTGTGTGAAGAGTCGAAAATGATTTTTTTATATGAAATTGATGACTTCACTTTTTGAAAAGAAAGCAGTTGATTTGTGATCGCAAATGACTTATCCTTGACAGTGACAATGTGTATTGCCATGTTGTACAAACGTGCTACACAGCTGACTGCGTGAAAGATAATTGAATACGACAGATTTTCTATTTATTTATGAAAGAAAGAAAAAGTATATTTTAATGTTCTTATTGGGAACAGGAAATTATTGAAATCAGTTTCAAATTTATTTGTAATTATTTTAAAGAAAATATTTTCTTTGTATTCCGTTCCAAGATAGACTGTATTATCGATCCGACAGACGGATCAGAAAAAACGCCGGTGTATTATTTAGAATAGAAAATAAAAAGTATTAAAACTTCGCTTCTTCACGGTCTGTTCAAGGCAAGCCAGTGCACAATGTCTATGATGTAAGCTGACTCATATCTCACAGATAGTGTCTTCAATATTACCTCCTCTCACCATATCTTCGCACCGTTCCACGCATGTGTGTTAATGCGCGGGTTGTGAGGTCATACACCCACCTTCACAGGTGGTTCGTTTTTCATTCAAACCGTACAGAATATTGCAAGACGGAGGCGCGAGGAACTCTTGAGAAACACCCGGTCAATTTCAGTTCTTTTTACACGATGATCATGAGGACGTTGTTCGAGATCTATTCTGTGTTATTGGTGCTTGTATTCACGGTCATTGCCATTGATGGCAATTACACAGATATTAATCTACCGCACGAGCATATCAAGTATTATTTCAACTCTTTTCCCACGGTAGCAGAAAAATGCCGCAATGATGTGACGTGTCCATATAAGGTAAGAAGTTGGAGTTATTTTTAATTTCTTTATGAGACATTTGACATTTCGTCTTATATGATATAGTTAAAACATCCAATATAAAATTTCATTTATAAATATTAAGCACACATTTTTTCTTAATTTTGAAATTATACATTAATATTACTCACATTCTTATTTCAATTTTATAAACAAATTTTATTATTGTTTTTTAATGATTTTATCATATAATTTATTTGAAAGTAAGTCATTATTTTGTGATATTTTCCAGGATAGTCTTGATATTAAAGCTTGTTGGGGCTATGAGGAAGATTGTAAAAGGAAACATTCGTTTTCCGTTCCGTTTTGCCCAGGTGATCATAAAGGATGGGTAGCAACAAAAAAGGCTCAATTGGATACATATTACGCACAAGGTGATTTCGGATATGTACGCGATCAGAGAAAGGAGATGATGCTATTATGTGAACCATTATTTGTAGTGAGTTTGATGTGAAATATAATTCTGATGTTATATGCAAATATAAAAGAATAATAATAAACTTGATATTCTCGGATTTAATTTTTTTTTTAGGATGACTCATCCTTGGAGTGTTCAGAGCATATGAGATTTTGTAGAGCGAGAAACGTGATGCTAAATTTCACAGATTTACTAAATCGAAAAGAACCTATACGATACAAAATGGACGTGCTAAAAGAAGGTCAAATTGGCGGTTACTGCACGTGAGTGAATCAGAGAGCAAAGCAGATCAAGCTGTGCAAGAAATTAGAAAGTATCTAACTCTCTCTTCTGCGATCAGGCTGAACGAAAAAAGGTTACAAGAAAACGCGGATCATATCAGCCCGCTGCAGTCTTGGGGACCAGAATTACGAAACTTTCAAAAATTATCTCACCGGCCGATCGTTCACGGCGATTGTGATGTCGTCATTGAAAAACCGACTTTTATCATGAAAATAGATGCCAGTAAGTTTAAAGATATTCGCAAAAGGATTTTCTCTCCAAAATACAGTTCATACTTCAAGTTCAATATTCGTTTCTTCATTAAATTTTTTTTTAGTAGTAAACATGTATCATCATTTTTGCGACTTCTTCAACTTGTATGCATCATTGCACGTGAATCTTTCGCACCCATCTGCCTTCGACACAGACAATCACATTATGATTTGGGAAAGTTATAGGTAACGATCATAAAACGAAACATAAGACAAAACTGGAACAAGTATAAATCAAAGATTACGAACTATTAGATATTAAGTTACATTTTGCTTTTAGCTATCGATCGGCGTTTCAAGATACCTTCGAAGCATTTACAAGAAATCCACTGTGGGACCTAAAAACGTTTCGAGGCGAGACAGTTTGCTTCAGAAACTTGGTGTTTCCTCTACTACCTCGAATGATATTCGGTCTTTTTTATAACACACCACTTGTACTAGCATTGTATATCCTTTCACTGAAATACTCCACATTCTAAGGAAGAGCATTAACTATTATTAACTATTAAAAACGTTGTTTCAGATTTATGGCTGTGAAAAATCTGGATTGTTCAAAGCCTTTGGCGATCATGTGCTGCATCGACTTCAAATTCCTCTTCATCAAAGAAAAGATCGAAAGATTCGCGTAACATTGCTGAGCAGAGACACTCAATACCGAAAGATTTTAAATGAAAATGAATTGGTAAAAGCTTTGAAGGAAAATCCAGAATATAAAGTTAAAAGGGTAAAACTTTAACAGAGATTTAATTATCTTAAATGTTCTACTTATCATGTGTGTTACATGATCGATTCTTTCCTACAGGTGGTGTATAATAAAAATGTGCCATTTAAAAAGCAGTTGGAAATTACTAGAAATTCCGATATTTTTATCGGTATTCATGGTGCAGGCTTAACGCATTTAATGTTTCTCCCAGATTGGGCAGCGGTATTTGAAATGTAAGAATGTCGCGTATAACACATATACACATTTTGAATTATATATACATTATATATACATTTTTAAAAATTTGATTGTAAACGTAATTTATATTTTATGTAAACATTTTAACCATTTTCTTCAGATATAATTGCGAAGATCCTAATTGTTACAAAGATCTAGCACGATTGAGAGGTGTGAAATATTTTACATGGCAGGATACGTCGAAATTAGTGCAACAAGATCCGGTATGTTCGTATAAATTTTTTACTGAAACAACTGATTAGCCAAGTTTTTCATAAATTTTTTTCTATTTTATTGTATTTTTCCATTGATTTAAATATTAATAGAATTAAATTTATATCTTTGCATTACTAAACATGCATTATTAAATAATTATAATTTACAGGGGACACATCCTGATGGCGGAGCTCATGCTAAGTTTACAAATTACAGCTTCGATGTTAAAGAATTTCTCAGAATCGTTTCACTTGCAAGAAATCACGTAAAGCACCATAATGCATTTAAGAAATTTAATAATTCACATAACAAAATACAAAATGATACTAGGACAACGGATATCAAAGAACCGATACAACCTTCCAATACTAAAGAACCAATACAACTACAAAAATCAGATATATTATCCAAAGATGAATTATGACCAAGATTCTTAGGCACTAAATTAAGAAAATGAGACATGACAACAGTACATGATCTAAACTGTGTTTGTTGATCAAATTTCTTTATACACTTATTTTTATACTAATGTACATACTTTATTTTAATAAATAAAATAATAAATGTACGATAAATCTCGATATGTCTGCGTTACACTTGGCAGTACTTTCTCTTAGATATTAATTTATAATATTAAAATATTTACATATATGATATCTGTACATAATATTTAATTACATTATCTATTTGGATAATGCAAACTTCTTATATAGCAGAAAATAAAGTTGTTGATAAAATCTGTTATACATATGTTATATGTATACATTATAAATTAAGTTAGTATTTAATACAAATATTTTTAATTTAATTATGAAAATTTCGACCAATTGTCGTAAATTGATTAAAATTAATTTCTAATTTTTGCACATATTTCATAGTTTAATTGGCACTTGTAGCCTGTAAAGTATCAATGTTGAAAGTATACTTACAGCCATATATGTAATTAGTATCAATAGAGCTACCGATTGCTTGGCATATAATGTGTACATTAACATATTGACAAGACCAGTTATAACGTTACTAATAAGAAAAAAGAACAGGCCGTTGTAATTTACAGCATCAAAAATCTCTAAGGATCTTCTGATTGCGCATTCTTTATTTTCTTCTCTCTCATTTTCCACATGCTTTTTTAAATTCAATCTCAGATTTTTACGCAATCTTTCCGTTTTATTTTCAATGCATGGATCACCTACCGCATAATTCGTTATATCTAGCACGATCTCTACAAGTAGCAAGAGAGTAAGTAGTGTAGCCGTTAAGGTTACTATCCACATACAATATCCAGCATTGGCCAATCTTCTTGAAATCTTAAAATATGCATTACAAAATAATGTTGCGATGCAAGCTTTTGCAGAGATCAAAGATAATTTAATACACAACAGCATAGATTCATTGTAGCTCGCTTCAATTTCAAAACCATACAATTTCACAGAAATGGTCATGTTTGGTGTTATATGTGAATTTCGATATGTCGAATGTATCAACCTTCCAATAGCTACACCAAGAAAATACAATCCTATATAACCGGGTATAGAAATTAAACCCTCTCGATTGGCAGAGAAGAAATCATCTCTTGGCCCATCTCCCAAAACCCATGTCTTTAAACCTTTGGTACTCATTGTGTATTCATGCATACACAATATCCATATACCTGAGAGCAACGAATATTTTGAACTAATGGTGCTGGTAATCATGCTGGTGAACAATTTAACGATAGCTAAAGTTATAAAAAAGTTCCAATGAATGCCATATTCGGTGACATGTCTCTGATATCCTATATACTTGACTGACACAAAACGTCCGAAACCCAATACTAAGAGAGGCACGCAGCTTCGGAAGCAATTTTTCATATTTTTCATCAAGATTTCCTGAAATCCTGCTTGATGATGGGTAGAGAAATCTCGAGTCTCTGGCGCAACCAATGCGTTTGCCAATATAAACAATCCGACACCTGTATCCATCAAACTGTATCCGAACACCTCTGTCTTGGCGAACTTCCGCGGGAAGATACGGAAATCGACAGCTAATATAGAAATCGCAGTAATAATATTGATCAGCGCGCGAAAATTAGTTATAAAGGGTCTCTTGCCGATAATCGGTCGCATAACTGAACTGGAGAGATTGGTTCCCTTGCTCCCCAGCAGCATTATGTTTAGCACAGAAATTGATAGCATTGTTATGCATACAATACCGATGTATTCCGACAGTACGGTACAACATAAGATAGTCGGAATCACAGTTAGTATAAACTCCAGCACGACCCTTACATTTTTGTGAATATATTTCCTAAGGATCCCCAGAGTCGTCGCTGTCAACAAAATGCCGCATACGTTTGGCAGAAGCGTAAAAATCACCTCTTGCGGGGTTGTGCCTCCGTGATTGGAAACAAACGCTTCTTGCTCGAGTCGGTATTGTTCCTTGCTTGTTGGCGACGTCATTGTTATTGAATTTCAGGGTTTCTACGAGAGCGTATCCAACTCAACTATAATTTTGCGCGAGAAAGTATATACACCTGATACACAAAAAACTTACGATTGTGAATGATCCGTCCATTAATTCATTACTCGCGTGTTGTGTTTGTTTCCATGTGCGATAAATATACATTATAGTAGTAATAGTAGTAATAGTAGTAATAGTAGTAGTAGTAGTAGTAGTAGTAGTAGTAGTAGTAGTAGTAGTAATAGTAATAGTTTAGTTTGGCACGCAAAATTTGACATTAATGTTGCACATGATACATGTTCATATTGCTATAGGTGGCAGCACTTTTACTTACTTTTTATTCCAGATTACTTTCTTTTTATTCCACGATTTGACAAGAAGAAATACATCAATGAATTTGATGGTCTTTTAATAATTTTGACTTTTAATATCGTGTCAAAATTGTATTAATATATTGTCTTACGATTGAAATATAATGTGACTGATGTGATAGTTTTTATATTAAATAATGTTTGTGTTTAATATTGCTGTAAATAAATATTTCCTCGAGTAATACTTTTTATTCATTAATGTTATACGTGTTATTCATTTAAATATTTAAACAAATATGCAAATGCGTATATTTTATATGTGAAAATTGAATAACCTAACTAAGAAGACCAGATAAGAGTCACATGGAAGCAAGAACTAAAAGATCATTTCCTTTTGATGAAGACTTTGTCACAAATATTCAAGTAAAAAAATTTAAACTACCTACTAATCAAGTGCTAAGCAATATGAACCGCACATCTGAACATAACTTTATAAAGCATTCCAAACCACAATCTTCAGAGAAATATGTTTCACTTGTTGAAAAGATGAGACCAACAAATATTACAAATTATATAGGACAGAAACAAATCATTGGTCCAGAAACGGTTTTAAGCTATTTATTGGAAAGAGGAGAGATTCCTAGTATGATATTTTGGGGCCCACATGGATGTGGAAAGGTAAAACTAATTTCTGATATTCATAATTCATTAAGTATTATTTTAGAATTTAAGATGATATTATGATTTTATGATTTATTTATGATATCTTGAATCTATCTATCTAAAGTCTTAATATACAGTCTTAAATATAAGATCTGACTATGAATATTCTTGCTCTTAATCGCTATAACTATTTATAATAATTATTTGATATCTATGTTTTAGACATCATTGGCGAATATAATAGCATGTTTAAGCAAAGAATTAACGAATGACAATGTATACATTGTGAACCTATCTGCAGCCAGTTCTGGTGTAAAAGATATAAGAGATATAGTCGCCACAGCAAATAACAAATCGAAATTTGGATGTAAAACTATTGTTTTCATGGATGAAATTCACTGTTTCAACAAGCTTCAGCAAGATATATTCTTGCCGCATGTAGAAGCAGGAATATTTACCTTAATTGGATGTACCACCGAAAATCCATCTTACAGTTTAAATCCAGCTCTACTAAGCCGTTGTCGTGTATTTGTGTTAAAGAAATTAACAGAACATGATATAACCAAGATTCTTCTTAAGGCTATAGAGTGCATAAATGGAAACATGTTTGATGCACAAGAAAACAGAGAGCAATTGAAATTTCTTTCAAATTTAAATATTAAATTTCATATTGATAATAATACAATACAGTGGCTAGCAGAAGCATGCGATGGTGATGCGCGGGTAGCACTAAATACTTTAGACTTAGCAACACTTGCAAAACAAGCAGATGGATTAAAAACTTCACGCAATAATAATATAATAACTCTGGAAGATATTAAAGATAATTTAATAAAAGCGCATATGCTCTCTGAAAAAGAAACCAGTCAGAGTCATCACATGTATTCTGCACTTCATAAATCGATAAGAGCTGGCAAGGCAAATGCTTCTTTGTATTGGATGGCTAGAATTATGGCAGCTAAGGAAGATCCGGTAAACATTGCAAGACGGTTAGTTAGGATATCTAGTGAAGACATTGGTTTAGCAGATCCAGATGCTTTAGGTAAAGAAAAGAGATTTTATTGTGCATATACAGTAAGCAAATGTTAGCAATATGCTTGCAGTCTGATAACTGATTCAAGCAAAATGTTATGACAAATTGGCATGCTGCATATAAATGACAGCTGCATTTATATTAAGCTTTTGTTTTATATCGAAATGTATCACAGATCTATTCTTATGTCTTTCATCAATCTGTCATTGTATTCAGCATTTTCCAATATTTTGCCAATAATATTGTATATTTAATCTGATATCAATTCTATCCTATCTGTTGACAAAACATGTATCGGATGGTTTGCAAAATCTATTTTTAACAGGCTTTAATATAATATAATTTAATATAATTTAATTATCTGAGTATTTAATTAAATTATATTAAAAATTTAGGTGTAGCTGTTCATACAATGCATGGATGCCAAATGATAGGTATGCCAGAATGTGACGTGCTTTTGGGACAATGCACGGTTTACCTAGCAAGAGCACCAAAATCTCGATCGGTATATAATGCATTAAAAGCAGCTGAGAAAACAATTTTGGAACATGAAGGTTCTCAACCTATTGTGCCATTACACATGAGATGCAATTAAATAGAAGCAAAGTTATAGACTTGATATAAAATCTTTTTTTCTTGCTTGTGTAATTATTACTAATTAATTTATAGTTTTTCATAATAAATTGTTCTTTTCTTGCAAGCATTAATAATCTAGTCCAAGAAAATAAAATAATGGAACTTGTTTATTCATAATATTATAACATATTTCTATTTCTCCTAAAAAACAGCTTGTAAATAATTAAAATTTTCAGCTTAATATTGAGGAATAAATTAAACTAAAAATATTATCAATTCTTCTTAAGTTTGAATAATTAATCGTGCTCAATATATTATTTGTCATATCCTTTGTAATAACAATTATTTAACTATTATTAATTTCAAGAATGTAATCACTCATCCATAATTTTTCTTTATTTTTTACATGAACATATCATAGGGAGAAGATTCAAAAGATTTAAATCCTCTTCTCCGAAAAAAAATTAAAAAGTTGATAATTTACAAAATCTAATATTTTTTCACAAAAATAATTCACAATCAAAAATGAGGATTCTAAGTTCTAAAATATCCAAAAAAGCAATCATTAACGCAAAAAATTGCTGTTTGTATCAATTGACAACGTTAATAAAATTCGCCCTCCAAAAAAAAATCATACGTTTATGGCAATTATAATGACATCGTGTATCAATGAACGATGTGAGGTTTGTTTTCTGTTTCTACACTGCAGATTAAAATTTTTTATCTCGTTTTTTTGTTAAACTTTATATCTATTTAATTTTAATACGGCTGTTTCAACTATAAAAGAAAAAAACAAGAATATTTGAACTAGTGCGCCATTGCTGCCCATCACACAATCGACCAATGATGTGTGCTGCACGTGAATCATCGACTATTGGCTGACGTTGCTATCGCGGGGCAAGCAGATAGAGCACACTGTGTGGCCCTGATAGCGATCATTCCCACTTACATCACACATCTTCGAAGACGGTCTGACGCGCGACTGACACTCGAGATCACACAACCTATTCTTATTCACGTGTCGCACGTTAAATTACAGTACTCGCTCTACATGCAGTGTCGCTCGTCTTATCCGTAACGCTATGAAAATCTGGACATCAGAGCATATCTTCGAGTGAGTACGAAGTGATTATTTGGGGCGAATACTCCGCTGAACGGTGCATTCCGTTACTTGACGCAATTGTTTCGTACAATTCGTCAGACGTCTCAAACGTCGGATTTTATCTCGTCTAAAAACCGCAATGCGGTTACGTTACGTGCTCTCCTTACACATTCTCGTTACACCTGTTACACCTCCAGAAATGAGCAATCGATGGACGTGGGTTATCTCCAAAATATAAAGCCATGCTGACATGCCATTTATTTTTATCTGTCCTTTTAAATTGATTTCCGAAAATCTACAGAATATTTTGTATTTACAAGAGTAAAAAAAAAAAGGATGATATTAAAACAGTCTATAGTTCCTAACACATCCAATTTGTCTTAACCTAGTTTTCGTAGTGGTACCTACTTTTCGTTACTTCTTTCTTAAACAGGAGATAATAGTTTTGTCAAATGTTTAATTAATTTAAGAATGACATTTTGATGCGATTTTTCTCAGAAAATAAATTTAATGAATTTCTTCACAGTCATCCTTGGGAGACAGTAGCTCAGGCTGCATGGAGAAAGTATCCGAATCCTATGGTGCCTTCAGTTATTGGAGCGGATGTCATCGATAGAAAAGTAGTTGACGGTGTGCTCCATACCCATAGACTCGTTGTTTCTACCCAATGGGGTTTTCCGAAATGGACGCAAGCGGTAAGCCCTACTGCTACATCTTTTCCACGTGCTGTCATATTGCCGCGTTAATCCGATAACGCTCTAGCATGCTTAATTCTAACCTAACCTCTGACTTAACCTTTAATCGGTATTGCGGGTCTGTAGAATTGCATCAATTTTTTTATGTCTCTTATAGATAATGTTGTAATAAATGAAATAGTGGAATTATATTTTTATACAAAATTCTTATATTTATTATTTGTATATTGAAATATATAAAATACATAAAAATATTACTCGAAATATTCAATATAAGTTAAATTTTTATTAAAAAAATAAGAAATATTTTTATTATATATATTATATAATATTCCAAGATTTTTCACTCATCTATTTCGATACTATATTTGTAACATGCTGAACCAGCATATCGACCCTGACAATGCTGACGTGAACATGAGATCGCTACCAGTTATTACGTATACTGTCACGTGCCATTTACGAAATGCTGTCTGGGTATCAAGTGGATATATTGATATTCTTGAAGATTATAGTTCTGTAATTTATGTATAGCTTTTACAAATATCGATTAAGTTAAGACCGCTTCGCGGTCAGAACAGAGTCTTCTATGACATTCTATAGAATAATGCAGAACAAGTTACAGTATAGAATACTCCATAGTATCTTATAAAGTGATAGTGGAAAATTATAAATACCAATCTTTAAGATATTTTTTAATTAGAAGATTAAGCTAGCTCAAGAAAGTTGTACCTAGCAATATTCAGAAGAACATTAAATTATGTATAATCCAATAATGTGTTAAATATTTAATAGGTTTAAGCCACAGCTGGGGATTTTACAATAAAAGTTTGCTTTTATACACCATATTGCTATAGATATTTAAAATCGAAAATCGATATTTCTTCAAATTTTGTTTTTTGTAATTTATTCCCCGTAATTGCTCGGATTTAATCGTACCTAATTGATGGCTAACAAGAGAAAATTATACTCTAGTTATACGACTTCGCAAAGAATTTTCCTGTTTATGATAGAAAATTACCAACCGGTCGCATATGTAATGTCGTTATAAAGAACACTCCTGAACGTAACTATGAGCTTTCAGTATGTAACCACGTGGATGTTGACCTACTATACAAGGTCGCTATTCACGTTGATTTTACTGATCGAGATGCGCAGAGCGAATTGACGGTAACTCTTTGCCAGAACTTATCGACAACTTTTGTAATAAAGCTAGGTGTAAGTAAAAAAATTGATATTAGATTTTATTATTCTACTTCTTTCATATCAAAGACGTATACGAGTCTTGTTCTTAAATTGGTATCTTATTTAAATAATCTATTGCTCTCTAATTGGGGTATTATCTAAATTATCTGTTGCTGTTGAGTAGCATTGTCATAAATACATATGTGTATGGCTGTGTATAATGTATAAATATATGTGAATGTTCGTTGGCATCGAATTTGGATTTGTGAGTTCATTAAACTTAAATAGGTCTGTTTGCTGTAACTGAATTAGCGTAATCTTATATGTGTTGTTTGAAGTTCAGTGAAAGCGAGAAAAGAAATTTTAGTATAGTCCAATGCAGAAATAGAAAACAAATCTAATGACCGATGTGAATCCGTCATTCTTGTGAAACTTACCTACAGCTCGATTCATCGATTTTTTTGGCGCGCTCTCGCGGCACGTGTTTCATTTACGAACCGTTTCATTTACGAACTTATCGGACGACCTTCTCGAGACCTTCGCGATTCGATGTCTTCCGCTAATAATGCTTGAATAAATTATCGACTTGCGCCGATTATTCAGAGACCTTTACAATTTATTCTTCTAACTTCTTGTAATGTGCAAAGTCACATAACTATGCTATTGATACATACTTAACGAAAGAAAGCTATTACTTTGATATAGATTCATAAATTTTATCTATTGATTTTTTTCTATAAGTATTACGTGTTCAACCATAAATATAAAAAAAAACTGTTTTATATTTAAACATATTATTACTAAACTTTTTATTTTCTTCTTTAAATAGCTTTTAAATAAATTTCTTGTGTCAGAATCTTAAATTTTGAAATTATGCCACTACTTTTGCGCGTTTCCTTGAATTGAAATAAGTTTCAGAAAGTGCGATACGATGTCTAGTATTAATGTTTTGTTAGTAACTTATATACTTTTAGAGATTTTAGCATTTACTTTAATATCACTTTAATATCTCAATCTGAAGTAGGGTATAACATTTATATTAGTCTCTGAAATTTCTTAATTTAGTGAGAAAGTGAACTTTGAACAGAGGCAGACGTTAGTTATTTACGATTACGTAACTAGCATGCTGTTTGACGTTTGACTTCTCAAGTGAAATCTTGCATGAACGAGTTGTTAACGTAACAGTATTTACGAATTATTTTCAAATGTAAATTTTCACTAATTTACGATGAGTTTTATTTTCCTTCAAGTTATATAAGTTGGCTTTAAGCTTTTTTTATTATGGTTTATATGGAACGTGATCTGTATACAAATACAAATTTTTTTACTTGCATCAGCTTTTATTTGCATCAGCTTTTGGTTTCTTTTTATAAACAAAGGCACAAGAGGTGTATAGCCTATCGATCATTTGTCATCTTATCTTCTCTTTTGTCTCATGCAATTTCTGATAATTTTTACTAGTACAATTTCTGATAATTCCATTTTATCAATCGATGATTCTTCATATTTTAATTACACAGATATATCGGTGTTGCATAATAATTTTTTAGAGAATCAACACCATTATATTTATAAGTTTCTTATTTCTGTTATTCGTAAAAAAATTTTTGATATTGCACTTTGATGCGTAATTTTATCGGTTGGCGCGGCTTTTTCACGGTGATTCGCACAGTAAAATTGATGTTGCACTGATCTCCGGCGGGCGACAAGAAATCAATCCGTGAAGCAACCTAACAGAATCATTCACCTCTTTCTGGTATCGCCCGTGGCGTGCCGGTAAAAACCTCGCGCCATTCACCCCCGTCTAGCAATCTCCGCCGGCGCGTCGCGGCAACGCGGAGATCCGGAAATTCGAAACTTTCGACAAACGTGCGCAAAAAGAAGGTGCCGAGGACCCGGGGAATTGCAAAACAACATCCGCACTGGCATCAACTTTCATAATGAGCGCGCTCAATGTTACGCCGTTTGGCAATCATCCAGCCAGATGCGCCCGCCTTCTGGAATACTCAGGCAGCAGCCTCCGTTCTCTCGGATTCTCAATCCTTTGCTACCCTATGGTACTTTCGAAATACTAGGAATTCCAGGGCATCGAATCCCCTTTCGGCCCGATGAATCGCTTCCTCGTCAGATTTTCTATAAGCTCGGCCATTTCGCCGGACCGTTTTGTTATGAAACGGTTCGAATGCCTCTACTCATGGTATCATATACAAGGTGTTCGAAGAACATAAAGAGATCCCCCCCCCCAATATCTGATGATAAGAAATTCCTTCGAAAGATTTACTTTGTACTTGAAAAGATTTAAAGTTCTATTGTTTCACACTATCGAAATGCTGGATTTCATCCTGGCATATTTTTATTTTGATATTTATCGTTTTATTACCGTTATAAATGCATATTTGTCTGTTAAATAATTAAACCGCAAAAACTATGACCAAAGAATAACAAGGAAAAAAAAAAGACTTTTGGCTTTTTGAACAACGTAAAACGCAAATACAATTTAAATTTTAAAAAGCAGGAAAAACGATAATATTCGTAGGGTATTTAAATTCAATTAATTGTTTGAAAATTTAATTTAGCACAGATATATGTATATACGTTTTGAGCAGATCGGATTAAATACAATGGTTATATTTTTTTGAAATATTCCATAGAATATAGTTACCGTGAAAAGTTGCAATATTTAAATACTGATTTAAATACTGATTACTTAACGGATAGAAAAGTGCGAAGGACCATTTCGGACCGCGATACTTTCGTCGGCACCATTTTCAACGCCCCCGATGCTGCATCTGCCAGCGTGCTATCCGAGTAATTAGCGGATGCACTCGACAACGAAACGCGCTCTGGAAAAAAAGTATGCGAGAAAAGTTCACTTATCGTGCCCATTCGCCCGAAACGCTCGAATTGGCGGCAGAAGGTTCGTATAAGCAGGCCGGTTTATTCGTGCGACTAATTAGAATATGCATAATTAATCGGCGAGGAACGATAATTAAAGTGTGCTTAGCGTGCCAGTCTAATTAGCGTCTTTCTAATTACCTAATTACTCATGCTAATTTGTTATTAATATCGCGTTGCCACGCAAACTTACGGAGAATGGTGTTCTATTTCTTCACGGTCGGGATAGACGTTTCAGATCGATATCTATACTTTCGAATTATGTATCGTCGCTGATCAGTTCTAATGATTGCTCGTAAACGTAAGTAGTTGTCGATGCGTTAAACTGCTACCAATATGTAAAAAAAATTTTAATGCAAGATAAAATTGATTGATTGATCTTTTGTCACCGGAGATAACTCTTATTTTCATTTGACAACATTTTATAATTAATCTCTTTCGGCCTTATGTCTTTCGGTGAAAAGAATGTCAATTCGTTATGATTGATGATTTTTTTATAGATTTGAAATTTTATCGGAACTTAGATATATTTTTTATGATGATTAAATAAATATCATAAATTTAGGATATTTACGTTTCTCGTATAGTTATGAGAGCGAGAATAATGCAACCGTCCGCTGTAGGCGGTTAAATTAATTACCGTGCACGCCTTCTGACGTAGAACCAATTAATAATCGCTTATCGCTTTCTATAGAGTTCAGCATTATTCGTGTAAATGTTGGTTTGTTTGTTTAATTCGCCCTGTGTACGTATAACATGCTGATACGAATACGTGGTGTATTTCCATAAAAGCTCGTTGTTACCTTCCGCATATTGAGCGTGAATACTACTGTAATTTCTGAAAATAATATCTTATTAATGTTAATCTGTAATGCATCAATAATAGCCAACGGAATAATTAAATACGGGGTTAATTATAACTTATATATTATAATGAGGAATGTTTACACTTGGTGGATTATTGAACCATATAGAATGACATGTTATAGAATCGTAAGCAATGCTGTTTGCAAAGTTGTCATATATCAATTTAAAATTAATTTTATTTAATCCGTTATATTACGTTGCGATAAATAATTCACGAATTATTATGATTTTATTGCACTTCTTTTTTCCGCTCTACTAAGCACACTATGAAAAGTCGTGAAATCGAGCCGAAGTAGCTCTCGAAGACTGAAACATGCCATTGAAGTTTGGAAGGCTTTATCGTTGAATTCAACGCGGAAAGTTTTGAAACCGGAAGTGCTTGTCTATAGCATTTCCGAGATTTTTATCGGTGGTCGAATCGGTTTTTAGCAGTTTGCCAGCCAATTCTCGCCGGAACTACATTTAAATGATGCGAAATTCTTTTTTACACGAACACGATTTTTACGTTGATGCCAAGGCTTATTATGCGAGCGCACGTTTTCTCTTTTATTTTTACAGTTAATCGGCTACGCGAACTTGTGTTATGCCAGCGAACGCAGCGAGGTCGATCCCGTGAATAGACAAATGATCCTCAGGACACATAATGTAAGTATTCACTCTTTGTTCGAAAATGGGTTGAAAAACCGTTGTGCTTTCTCGCGATTCAACGATATGATGCAATTTCGTGCAATTTACGATACATTTTTTTGCATCACAGAATAGCTGCGATGGTTATATATTAAATGGGCTGGAAAATACGGCTAATGTATCATGGCGGTTGACTTGTCACTAATATAAACGGTTTCTCAATGTATATAATTGGTATATAATATAAAAATAATTTTAGATATTTTACGTTTCATGTTTAAAAAAAAACGATTGACATTAATAAAATGAAAATTTCCTCTCGCGTAAGCCTCGCGTAAGCTGATGTCTCTCATAAAAGCAAGCAATGTGATGTGAGAGCACTCGCACACCACAAAAACGACATCTCTAACCGTAATCCAATATCTCCGATCATGTTTCCGGTATGCGTAGAATAGCATTGGATCCGAAATATCTATCAGTAATAGCTTGCTTCGTTTAATTAGAATTGTATAAATCTATGCTACTCGTGCGGTTTTCATTGAATTTTTTAATGGGAATACTTTTTACCGTCCCTTCTCTTGCAGATTTATTCATAATTGCATATTCGTAATTGCGTACGTCGCTACATTTGGATTCAATTTGCGATCCTAAATTAGATGCAGAGTAGCGCATATGCATCATATGCTGAAATGACTTTTTGGCAGCATCAGTGTCCGATTTCGCAATTTGGCCTTAAGCCGTCATATTATTACGTTATATGAAAGTATTAAGAATTTGACGTCACTTATCATTACATAATTATCATTGATGAACCTGATATACTGATCGTTTCTGTTTTCAATTTTTCAAAATTTTTCAAAATTTCGATTTCGAGAGAGACCAACGAGCATAAGTGAATATTAATAATTTTACATAGATGCGTATGTCCATCGAATAATATTCTCGTACTCGGTGGTCAGTTATCAACGGAAGCGCCGCGTCGAAACGCATCGGCGATCGCATCGCATATGATTTCTCGTTTCTGCGATAACGAAGTGAGCATTTTTGGGCGATTTTTCGACCATAACGAAATTGCGAATGCGTCGCGGTCCCTGTTGCGAAATGGCACTTTAATAGAGTGTCGCCCGGAAAGAAAGAGAGAATGCCGGGCGGTCACTCCATTAGCGCGTAATAAAAGCGTTCTTCCCGCAATGCTGTTTCTCTTTACATATTTCGCTAGTGAAATTGATGCAAATGTTATGAATAAATGAACTTGCTTTATAATGATTTAAAGTTATCATTCCGATTTATTGTTTTCGCGTCTATTGATTCGTTGATAGCCGAATTTACCATACGACCTTCATAGTATGTATTATATCATTCGTATATTGAAATTGTCGATTCATGTATTTTATTGCTTCTTCATCTTTCTTTTCTCCTTTAGCTTCAGAAAGGAAAATTGCATAAAAATATTGCGCATAAATATTACAGATATTTTAAAATAATGTCCCTCTTCTTGATTTAGATATTGTGTTAAATTTAAATTTGGGCATAATATACAATATCAATATAGCAATAAAAAATATAACACACACACACACACACACACACACACACACACACACACACACACACACACCATCCTTTCACATATATTTAGAATATAAAATATATTCAAATGAAATAGATCACAGAGGATGACTTTTCTTATTACGCTCTCTTTTCTTCATATCGTATGGATAGTTAAAAGTTGGTCGAGGCGAATTACTATTCCTGGCTCGCTTTGTAACGAGCAAGTTTGTCAAATTACGTTAAAGTTTTTCATGCGGCGTTCGTGTCTGGAAAATTCACTTGGAAACTTAATATTTTTCAATACCTCTCGTAATATGCGGATTATAATAAAAAAGTTTGCGAGTTCCACGCAGTTCGGCCAGTCGTACATGCAACACGTTTCGGATGGAAGTGCGCTGACACAAAATCGCGGATTTTTTCCGTGGCCGCTATCAGAAAACGATTTTCGAGTCTCGATTTACATAACATCCGTTCCAAGGAGTATGCATAGTAAAGACCCTCAGGAAAAGTATCTGGCTGCAAGCTCGAAGAGATCGACGCGTCTGAGAGCAGGGGGAAAGGGAGGGAGGGCGAACGTGTCGAAGGGGGGAGGGAGCTGATGCACGCCACCACCGTATCCAGAAGGTTGGATATGATAGGTTATTGATGCGCGCATTACCGGGGGGTTGCATAGCTCGGGGGAGCTTCTCGACGCGGGGTATATCAGGTGGGGTGTCAGGGAAACGGCGGTGGGATATGGCAAACCGAAGGAGATAAAGGAGAAGAGAAGGGAGGGAGGGAGGGAGGAGGGGCACGGCATTGGTCGTGGCTCTCCCGTTCGCGTCGAAGATCATCCCCCGCTTCGTCGACGGAAAAGAGACCACGAGAAACGCGGGGCGGTAGATGCATTACTGGTATGATGAACGATCCGCAGGTGGCTTAAAGCAAAAGGAGAAGCCTCCCCCTTCCCATATCTAGGCGGAGCTGTTACGTCGACCTTTTATATCCATCGAGATTCCGTATGTATCCGTGCGAGTACATTATGTACCGACGATCGCACTCGTACGTTCCGATTCCGGCTAATTCGTACGAGAGGGTGCTTTTACAAGTGGAGGTAATCGGCGCCTGCTGAGCGATATACTCGCGCGGATAGCTGATGGGATGATTGAATAGGATGATCGAGCGAGAGTAAATCGCCTCGCGAAGGTCGGTGTAGCAATTCCATTAGCTATATACGCGCGGGTATTTTAACGGCAATTCATTGTTCATATGTTTATCGATGACTGATAAGAATACGATGAATTATAAATTTGCATTCAATCGTATACGAAGGAAGATGGAGGATACAGATAGCGACCGGTTATGCAAAGTGGCTAATAGGTTCGCCATTTTTTATTATTTATGTAGCAAAGTGGAGCGACGGCGGGCCGCGTTATTTCTCTGCCAGGCACACATCGCGACATATAAAAGGGTGATACATTAAATCGCATAAAAGCGGCAAACGGTGTACCGCTATTGTGCCGCGTGTAAACCGATACGCGGCGGGCAAAGACAAATCGCGGAGCGTCTGAAGTATTAATGCGGAAAGCCGTATACAACACGCGGAGGATGCAGTCGCGCATGATCGATTCCGCTTCGAATCCGAAGGTGAATACCGCAGACGTCGTGCCACCGCAATAAATTCGCCTTTATCCGCTCATCGATCGTTTTACGGGTGCAATCTTGCCACCTTTATTCACGCCGGATGCGTCACGTATAATATACGCACGGCCGTCCCACGGGAGTTTGTGGCGTAAGACGGCGAAATACGTTATCGTGTGCATTATGCGAAGTATCCAACAAGTGCGAAACGAGGAAGGAAGGTGAATTTAAGGAAAATTCCGGCGCGCACGCTGCCGTCACCGGGGAAATGCTGCGAACGGCATGCAGTTGATGCCTCGAATGAGACCGTCTCTCACTGCATTTCCCGCTCGCTGGGTGAGTCGACGTCATCTTTCTTGTTCGTGCCATCCTCCTCCACCTCAACGAGGAAACGTCTCCGCAATTAAGGCTCTGGCCGAATTCCCTGGAATGCACTGTTCATTTGCCGGCGTGTCTCCAGGATTTCCGCGGTGCCACAACGCAACGTGCTTTGAGGACTTAAATTCATGTTAAAATAAGCATTACTAGAAACTTTCCCGGAGAATGTCAGTTGTGTCGTGCTGAGATACATGTGTCATGGAATATTTATATTACGCGATATCGTATTATAAATTTATCATACTAGACCACCACAGACGCGCGCTATGCCATTTATTTCCTTGCCACTACGTATTTTTCAATAGATTTACAATCAAAAATGTAATTTTAAATTTATCTATCGCGTACTCTTCGACAAATCATGACTGAATACGTCGTCCTATTTACATTTAGTTACGTTTCTATTTTGCCTATATATCGCATCTCGTCAAGATGGTTATATTTTAAAGATGATTCTAACGATTCTAAAGATTCTAACGATTGCTAATCGTAATAATTTATTAAGACGCGTTTGCCGCATTAGAGACGAGCTCAGACTGAAATTGAACAATCCTCTCGAGATGAGTTTACGTTACCTGCCGCGCATGTACGCATGTACGTAGACAGGCGTGCACGTTATACGTGTTATATTTTCGAGAAGATTACGCTGGACGATTCGAGCTCGGTCGAATCCAGTCGGGGTGTAACCAGTACCAATCGAATTCTCCTACCCCTACGGGTGAAGAGATATGTCTTTTAGCAATTTAGCTCCCTTATCGGATTAGGCTGTGTCGGCGCGATGCATACGCAACGCATACGTTGCATCGTGATACGCCGTTGTGTCGTTGATCCTAAGTACACGGGCGGTACACGTTGCATTGCGTTATAGGACCGAACATAATGGGATAGCTGGATATCGTCCGCGAGGATTATACCTGGTACACGTGACTATTAAGACGATCACGATCACGTCCTGGAATAATGGAGTTGCCGCGCGCACGCACGCACGCACGGGGAGGGTTTGACGGATCCCCGCGCGCCGATTTTCGTAAGTCGGCATTATCTCCAGAAGATTACTTTCGCGATTGGTTATTAATTCCGCATGGAGGAATCGCGGTCCACGTGGTTGATACGACAATCGCAAGTCTTTTTCTTTTCATCTCGGGATAATCGAATCGGCCCGAGTTGTACGGATTTCCATAATAATGTCGCTGATGTTCCTCCTTACGAGATTACTCATGTGACTTACCGTTATCTACGACATACGACAATAGCATAAATTAGCATTAAATGGTACTGACAAAGATGCGCATAGAATGTGTTGCAGTTATGCATTTTATATTTAATATGAGATCTCTTTATGTGTTAAATAGTCTTACGATTATTTATCTAACTTATTTTAAAGTCATATATTATGGATGAAGCAAATCTTATTTTGTCGAGATAAACAGACTGACACTGTCCACAAGCCAATTACACGAAGAATCCAA